TTTTGTGCAAAATTTTTCTGCACATGCATTTGAATATAAATTTCTGAGATTTTAAATCTGTTATTTTACCTTAATTTTAATTAAAAAATATTTTAAAACCTGCTGATTACCTATAGTATAATTAAATTTCAATATAATGCATGGCAACTGTTGGTAGTTTTGAAGTTTATATATTTTCTTGGCAAACTTCAGTTTTTGACATTTTTGACGGGTTTTTGACGGTTTAAACCAGTATTATACCCTTGTCATGTCAAAAACCACTTTTTGACGTCAAAAACCCAACCCTGTTAAGCTAAGCACAGTCTTTGGAAGTAAACGGTATCTCACATAAAAAAATAAAGAGGAAGAGAAAAGAAAAATAAATTATCAGGGAGAGATTATATTTACCCCTGTGGCAGAATTTTTTAGGCCTTTCTGCGATAGAACTCTCTAGTTTTAATATCTTTCTTCAAGATACTTTAAATAATAACAAACACATATGTTACTTATTTAAAATAACAAAAGTGCTGTGTTAACAAATATATATAATTGTTTTTAATTGAACATGAAATAAATTTTTATTCTAATATTATGGGTGATATTCTCGTATTTTGTTGGGGGGGGGGAGCACAAATTATTTCCTTATTCGCATTTTGTAAATAATTATCACAATAAAAAAATTTGTGATGACGAAATCATGCGAATCGGTTTCCTCAAATGCGCGCCTCACTTCGAGATTAGGTTGTTGTAATAAATAAAAGTGTATAAAACATATCAGATTAAAAAACTATGGAGAAATCAATAACAGCCGAAAATTAGATAGAATTATATCATTAAAAAGTAAGTACTTAAATGCACGATTCGAATTTTCCATATACCAGTTTGAAATATATCAGAATATTTAAAATTCATGCGAAAATCAATATCAATAACTGCCAAAAATGCAATCGAAGCATTCCATCGATTTATGATACTATTGTCGTAAATTGAGTGTGTCAAAAAGTGTTTATCTAAATGCATGATTCAAATATTGCGTGTAAATTTCTGTAGAAAAGAAATTTTTTGTTACTTTTCAAATGAAAAATCTTTCAGCAAGAATTCTGTTACATTCTCAGACAATGTTGCCGTGTCGCCGCATTTCTGCCACAGGGATATTTATATTTATTATATATTGGTAACTGTTTTCTTTAACTTTAATTGCCAAGGGTGCTAGCTAATGTTCAGTTCTGAAGCTTACCATAATTTACAAAAATTACGTAGGACAACTTAATCCAGCATTTTAAACCCCTAAAAATTATCCTTTTATAGGAATGATTTTAGCATGGAACTGTACCAAATTTGTTGTCAAATATTGGGAATGACCAAGAGATGACACACAAGAAACTAAAAGATATAAATTCAGGGAAAATAAATTTCAAAATAAGATATTTTTCTCTTTTAAAAATCCATTATTTCAATTGCAACTTAGGCTATACGATAAATTTTTTTTTCCAATTTTAATTTACCCAAAAATTGAACAGAATGTCTTAATACTAAAATTTGCATTGCAAATAGGTTTATTATTTAAAAATTATTTTTGACAAGTAGGCAGTGTCGGCAAGTTTTTGAAAATTAACGGTTTTACCAGTCATGTCAAAATTTTGGTGTAAGGATAGTTATTAGCTATTATAAATAAGAAGTATTTGTAAATAAAAAGAGATATAAAATTACAAGTGATCAATCAATCATGTTCTTGAACTATTTTGATATTAAACTATCTTTTGTTTTTGATAATTACATTCAAAAACACAAAATTTAGTGTATAAAATGGCAAATAATTATAAGCAAAAATGTTTAAAATTGAAATTTATACAATCCATTAATATGCTCATTCATTGAAAATAAAATTATAAAAACAATCAACATAAAACACTCAATGATCATCTTATTCATCACTTGTAAAATCAATTTTCATTTACTCCGATTTAACGCCTATCGTTCTCCGATTAACTCGTCCCTTTAATTACGACAGAAAAAAAAATCATACTCACTCTAAATTAATTTTTCAGTCCCCCATCCCCGAAAAAAAAAAGGATTTAAAAACAAAGTGGAAAAAAAAATTATTCTATGATAAGTTAGAAAGTTTTTTTTTTGCATAAAAAACCTTAACATGAGACTGACTTTAAACTACTGAGTCCTTATTCACCTCAAGTATCCTAAAATTAATAGAGAGTGCATGGCAAAAGGTCATTTAGTTTCGAACACTTTTTAAAAAAAATAATTGTTTATGCAAAAAAGAACACCAAGCAAAATGCCAATAAACCTGTCATGCCAACAACAAGCATCAAGGAGTCGAATGGTTAAATTCACAATTTGAAAAAAAAAAAAAAAAAAAACATGTAGAGGTTAGCCTAGGGAAAATTTCCGTATCAAACTCTGCCTCGCCAACTTCAATCGCCAAATTGATTTTAAACAGGAAATTTGAAAATAAAATAAAAAATAACCGTAGAGATTTGTCAGTTGGTGGCTACGAGTTGTACCCTTTGAGTTGGTTCCTTTCCCTAATGTTTTCTTAGTCTCTTGCGGGCCACTGCTCTTTAACCTAGGTGTGACTATGACTGATTGAGTGGCACCTTCTCATTATTTTCTTTAGTAACTCGTGAGCCACTGCCCGGAAGTTACCAAGACTTGGGGAATATTCTACCGCATATCAAAATATGTAAATCTTTCCCTTTTTATTGAGCAAACATGCAAATGTAAGCTTATTTTTAGCACAGTCAAAACCATAAACAGGCCAAGAAAACTAAAATTCAAATAAAAATTATTAATTTATTAAGTAAATGATTAATAATCAAATCAAATTCAAAATCAAGTAAATGTTTCATGGAAAAAAAAGCTCAATATTAATTTCCATAAAATATAGATTTTTACCATAATTCTTTTTAAAGATAAATAAGCCTACAATAATAAAGACAGCAAATATTATTATGATAGCAAGCAGAGTAAAAAAATTTAAAAGAAAAAAATTGGCTAAAATCATTTATAGAAAAAACTCAATTAGTTTTAAAATTTTTGAAAAAACAACAACAAAAAACAAATTTTTAGATTAACAATGATAACAGGTTTCATTCATCAAAATTGAATTCGATAAAATTGTTTTTTATTACATAAAAGTAAATATATTTAGACTCCTTTCGTATCTTAAAGAACAATAAACTTCAAATTTCTTTAAAACTACACAAAACAAATATTATTTTTGTAAGTTTAATGCCCTAACCTTGCGATTATTTCATCAGTGTTTACGTTTGAACAACAAACAATTTTCACGAAAAAAAATCTCTATATTCTTAGAAACTTTATTTCAGAATGGTAAAAATGATTTAAACATGTAAGCAAAGTAATTATTTTAACAAATAGACATTAACAACAGACAAGTTTAAAGAAAATGTATTTAGATACCTTGCAAGAAACAGCCCATAATCCATTCTGTTAAAAAAAAAGGAACTTTTATGAATTAGGCCTATTCCAAATGGTGAAGTAAAGATTTCATAATCAGTAAGAAAAACTAACAAATTAACTACTGCTCATAAATTCACAATAAAATCAATATACTAAAATTAAATATAACATTTCATGTGTCAATCAAACAACAGCAACAACCCACATTAACAAACACACAGAAATAACATTAGCGAGTGGTGGCATTGGCATCATTTAAAAATAAAAATATCAAAAAGTTCCTGTTCTTTTTCATAGGCATGTGAGCACCATCTATTGTTTAATAAGCAAACTAATTTACTATTATACTTCTTCAATTTCCCAAATTTTACTTAAAAACTGTTGCATCTTTTTCAGTTATAAGGGTTTAATTAGTTAAGGTATTAATATTTTGCATATTTGCAAAGAATCAGACGACCAACTGAAATGGCTTGTAATTCCATAATATTGGGTCAAGAGGCCGTTCTCACTGCATCCTATTCTCCTCTACGCGCTGCAGGAGCATGCGCGAATCGCATTTGCGTGAAGCTGCTCGTGCGATTATGTTAAAGAGCAGTGAAAATGGCACAAACACGTATGTAGAGCCATTTATATGGCATGCAAAAAATTCTCGTATATGAATTTGAAGACTCGAGTGAGAATTTGAACGGCGAATTTTTCTTTTTTAAATATATTTCTCCAATCGGTTTTTCACTCGCATCTTCAAATTAGCGAATGCGAAACTTTCGTCTGACGTAAGAATGGCGCTTACATGGCTTGGGTTGGGATTGTAAAAGACATACGTATAGACATATCCCTACGTTGGAATAGAAACGTATCCTTATGCCAACGATGCTCACGCATTCGAAGTTTGGAACAGTCGTCTTGCACTGATGATAGACAAAGTAGCTCAAAATCATTCAGTAGATGTTTATTCGACGTCATCGCAAACATCCACGAAGGTCCATGTAGTCACTCGGTAGTAGTCCACAAGACGTCCATATTTGATCTAATAGAAATTCATCAGCACCGTTCATTAAATTATGAAATAATATTAAGATAAAATTAAATGTTTACATAAAAAGTATTTTTATGTTAACATTTAAATTTTATCTCCAAATATTATTCATTACAAAACTAGATGCAACATAAAATATTTTATTATAAAAAATAGACGTAATTGACATGAACTTTCTCAGATTCTTTTTTTCTCATTATCATGGGGAACAACATTGATGCATATTAATTTTTGGTTACGCAAAAGATCTTCAATGTACGTAATTTAGTCTTTAATAAATCATAAAGAGCACTTAGCGATTTTCTTTAATTGCAATATTTTTTTTAAGGACAAAAGAAAGTAGATTTCTTTTATGAACTTGACCCCATAGTTCCTCTCTTTCAATTCTACTTCTAAGTTGGCCTAAAGCTTTTTTAAAAGCTATCTCCCCCTGGAGGTAAACTTTTAATCAACTCCTCAGTAATACTTTCTTTCAACCATAACCTGTGATAGATGCGAAAATTTATCATGATTACATAATTTTTAGATTTTTATCTATTTTTGGAAATTGTCCCCAAAAACCTTTCCAATTTCTGATACATCCAATGAAAACTGGAAGTTGAATTTTAGGATAACGTGACAGCATATTTCTCTACGAAACACTCTCAGCAAATACAGAATCTTCTTTCTCAGAACTTGCAAATTGTATAAGTTTCTGTTCTAAAAGACGCCAACATTCGATTAATGTTGTTTCCTCGCATGTTGTTTCATCAACTTCGCTAGCATTAAGATTACCTTTGATTTTCATTTTCATTGTCTATCAATAAGCTCGCTTTTTGTTCAATGAGTTTAAGTTGTCATCACTGCTTAAATTTGACATTTCCTTATCAAAATCATTGCAAGGTTTAGAGAATAATCTTAGACATTGTGTTCAAGTCGTCAATATTTTCAGAAGCCATATTTTGAATAAAGAACAAATTTTCACTGGTATAAATCTAGTATAATCACAAAAACTCAATGGACTTACTCGATATCAGATTTAACAATCCTAATCGCGGAATCCAGATGCTCCAAAATTAGATAGGCAGAATATCAAGAGTTAATTAAAAAACTTAATGACAAATAGACGAACAGACGATACACACTTAAAAAATGTAATTTCGTGAAAATAACTAAATGAAATGGTATATTAACCCAAATGACGCTTCTCATATAATTGTAAATTACTCATTTACCACGCTAAAATTAAAAAAAAAACATTTGAATTTAGTAGTATCATAACCTGCTCTCAACATTGAAGCTTTTAGAACACTAAAAATAATCGCTGCTATGGGAACAAAAAAAAACGAATTATTTGCACTTACGTGAAAAGTAAGATTGTTTATGCGAAACAAAAAAAAAGGTTGCAATTTCTGACCTCAACTATTCTTAATTTTAGGACTGTTTTTCTTTTTCTTTTGTTTTTGCACTATATACATATCATACATATTTGCTGACAATTTTAACTAAAACGCATTATGTACAAATTGTAGGAGAGTGTCTATTCTTATACGCCGCACTAGGGCTGTACAATGGGCTTTTGGCAACGGTCTGGGGACAGTCCCTGAGGATGATCCGGAGACTACGTACACACGTCACATTCCTTTGACTGGGAGGACACATTCACACATCATCCATCCGCGGATAGTAATATTGACTCGAACCAGAGCTCGATTAATCTCCAATCTAGTATCCTCAGAGGTACTGATTTGTTATGGGAACTTGGACGACTTTGTTACTCAGATAGTTTAGCATGCACCAGTCTCCAATTTGTACATGGGGAGTCATCAGCCGGCAGAGATTGGACTTATGACAACTCGGACATATGCCCAACTCCCTACTAACCCTGTTCCTCTTTATAAGCTGTTTATAAATTGTAAATATATATTAATACGTCTTAATTAGGACTGGGCTATAAATCGATATATCGCGACATATCGATTTAACGCCTATATCGGCAAACCGATACAGCAACTTTCATTCCAAGCGATACATTAGAAATCTGATTTAAGCCGTCGAGTGAAGAAGACGATATAACGATATAGCGATACACGCAAGGACTTTCTCTTACGTTCCGATGCCAACTCGCGCTGTGGAAGACGATATTGTTTCGTTATGTTGAGACGGCCTTGACTGATGAGCGGTAGAATCAGAATCACTTTTGAGACCTTATATCGTTATATCACATGTTCGTTTTCGCATTTTTGG